TTTTAGGGGGTGATTTTTATGAGAAGGAAAAAGGAATAAATTTTCTCTCTCTAGAAAATTAGGGTTTATGTTCTCATCTAATGGAGGCTCCCACAAGCCTAGTTTTCCAAGGTCATTCAAGGAGGCTTATGAGTGATTCCTAAAGGCAAGACCATTACCAAGAAGATGGAGATCCATGGAAAAGATGTCTAGCAAAAGGGATCTACAATAAGTGAGAACATTCACTTTAGAGGAGAGATCTGAGGTTTACTCAAACCTTGATGTAAGTATTCAATCTTTTAGTTGAATAATACATCATATTTTATTTTTATTTTTGCATAAAACTTGTCTCTATGTGATGAATCAAGATCTATGAATCAAAATCCCTCGAAAAGTTTTTAAAACTTGCACGTTTCCCAACACGATGCAAGATTTATGCCATCACAAATCTCAATCTCGATTAGATTTGGAAAAGCAGATACATTTAAGTGTCTTAGCTTAAGAGAACGACATCCACCAGCAGCAAACTTCAAACGTGTTGGACTGACGCAACCTGTCACACTAAACCACTCAAGGCATAAGCAATTGGATAAGATGTTCTGAACATCTTCTTCAGTCAGCCTAGTATTCTCCATAGTCAAGGATGTGAGGGAGCTGAAACTGCAAAAACTTCGAGGAAGACTCAACTTACAAAAGCTCAAAGACAGGCATTTTAAGGTTGATCTATCCTGCATAAATAGCCAACTAGGAAATATATAGGGCTCTTGGTCATCATTTATAGACCAATTTTTTTTGGACAACCTTATATCAAGATTCTGAACTTTCTTATCCGCAGCAAATTGAATCCATTGATCAATATCAGAACCGTACTCTACGTCCAAATAGTATTTCACCCTGAATGATTCTATACTTGCACCACAATGTAGTGATAAAATCTGATTGACCCATCTCACAAAGCTATGCTTTTCCTGCTGTTCAGAGCTGGCATCTCGATTTGTCAGTTGGTGCATTCGACCATCATTCCATTCATGGTTGTAACATCAAAAACAAGGTTTAAATACTTTCCCCACAAGTATCTCCATCTTCTTGAAATAATGCTGGTTCTGACGGCCTCTCTCATTGTCAGCAGTGATATGATAGAACAAAGAATTTCCTCTGGCAACTTACTAATTCGATCATCCACTGTGATACTGTCATTCTTTATTCATTTCAAAGAAAAATGATCATGAATATATGATGGAAGATAAATATTGCTTCCTATTATTGCAAAGTAGCTTAAATAAACATATTGTAGGCTAGATAAATCTAATCACAAGAGAACCTACAAGTTTATATTACTCACTTCAACGGTAATAATATTTGACGTGGATTTTCTCTTTCCACTACAAATCATATTCCTTGACATACGATCCTCCATAATCTTGTCAAACTATAAATTCCAAATGAAGCTCTATTAAAGATGAATCACATAAATCAAATTAACCAATGTGAAAGAATTTAATTTTACGTTTGTACTTTGTAATTAGGGTTGCAAATGAACCAAGGTGTTCATGAACAGCTCGGACTCGGTTCGGGCTCGTTCGTTAAACAAACGATCTGAGCTCGAGCCCAATTTTTAGGCTCGTTTACTAAACGAGCCGAGCCCAAACAACGTTGGGCTTAGCTCGTATAGACTCGTGAACATGGACTCGATAGGGCTCTTTAAGGCTCGTGAACAAAGCTCGTTAAGGCTTGCAATCAAGGCTCATTATATATATATATACACACACACACATATCTATCTAGTTGTTTGAAAAAGAGATTCCACGCATGCAAAAGATGGGCAGCTTTCAAGAGAAGACTAATGTTTGGTTTTTCTGATGTATGTAAAATATATATATCTCATATGTGTGGACCAAAGACCCATGATGACAGCTTGATGAAGAGGTGATTGTTAGATTTAACCACATGTTGACCACACAATATAAGCCCTTGGATTTCCCACTAACATAGATTATACACTTGATTTGCTCTACAAGACCTGCACTACAAAAACAAGAAGACTCCTACAACACTATTAGTTCAATGGTCAATTATTTATACCCTAAATAAAAAAATATTATATTGCACACATCAACCAATATTCATCTCAACCAGATTTTTTTTTGTACAACGATGCTTTACTAATGTAGGGGATAAAGAATGAACCCTAGAAGGAGGAGTCAACCGCGGCAGCCTCTTCAGCTCGATCCATAGCATGATATTGCCTGTAAGTCTCCACAACACAACTCTCCCTCTCTCTTTCTAATGAACCATCTCCATGGCATGAATCCCCAACAACCTTCCACAACACAGCTCTGTCTTGTCTTTCTGTCTCTAATTATTCTTAAAATCTAGTAATGCAAAATATTTGTAGATAACAAAATCAGGTTTAATTTCATATTCAAATTTCATTCTTTATTGAATCGATAAAACCTTGAAGATATATGTGTTCTGTATTTTTTTCCCTTTTTCGTCAGCGATATTTTTCCTGTCAAAGATGGAGATCGGCAGTTATGAATTTATTTGATTAGGTGATCTGTAACCAAGCCCGAGCTCGGATAGGCCAAGCTCGCCCAAGCCCAAAGCCCGAGCCGAGCCCCAGCACCTCTATGAAGATGATGAGCCGAGCCCAAGCAACCCAAAGCTCAGCTCGGCTCGGTTCATTTGCAGCCCTATTTGTAATTGTTATTATCTCTCATCTTCTTTTTTTGATAAGTAAAAGTCGATTAGAAGAACGTTCAAAAGGGGAACACGTCCTTAATACAAAAAACGAAAGTTGAACCTAAGGACCAATAAAGTCCAAAAGATCAATTAAGTCATCAATCAAGGAGCAAGTGCTTCCTTTCACATAACAGAAAATAGATCAAAGGATATGAATTTTCAAGGTCGCCAAAGACGATCCCTTTCCTTCAAAATTTCTATTATTCCCCTCTCTATATATGCACCACCAAACACAGTGTGGAACTATCCTACAATAGTCATGAGCGTGACTTTTCACTCGGCATCTTCTCCACACATTAATCAGTCATATGGAGGACTAAGGCATTACCCAATGTTCCAACAATCATATGCCACAGGACAGTGCATAAGAATGTGATCCACAGACTCACTGTCTATTTTACTTAGACAGCACCAATTAAGTGTTACATCTCTTTCTCAAATTGTCCAACGTCAAAATCTCGCCTCAGACGACAGTTCATACAAAGAATGCGACTCTAAGTAGAGCCTTAGAATTCCATAGGGTAGAAGAAACTCAACTTGGGATAGGGTAGGCAACTTAGAGGTTATCATCTTTAATGAAGTCTAAGAGCCCGTATGGGATTGCTTCTCCACCACTAAAAAGTGCTTTCATTTAAAAAAAACTATATGAGATAAAGTAGCTATACACATAGTTTTATGCAACTTTCTACATGTACTATCTACATAAAACAGATTATTCAATAAAGTGAAAAAAAATAATAATAATAAATAAATAAATAAAGAAAAAAAAAGAAGAAGTGATAATACGGGTATCAGCTTATGGATTAGTAGATTACAACATATCTAGCTCAAATTTGATATCGAACCAAACTAAAAAGAGCCAAAAATTCAAGAATCATCTGTACACACCAAGAGTGTCGCATATAGAACGAATTGTTGCTGTATTTCTCATCAAATGGCAATTTAAAAATATGTTCCATTATTTTCAAGGGGACATATCACCGGCGCTCTAAGTTTGTCCTCTCGTGCTTCACTTATTAATTTTATAGAAGGCAAATGACAAAATTGTCCTTCCTCTTGTGAGTGACGCATAAGTTGCTGGTGGTGAAATTGGAGCAAGACGATTGAGCAGATGATCAGAGTCAATCAAACCCATAAATTTATTTTCAAAATCATGAGAATTGGGAGAAAAATAGAGAAAGAGGGAGAGAGAGAATGTGGTCATAATTTAATCATTTGTCCTTTAACATGTATATATAGTTATAAATTCTTTCCTTTTAACACCCACCATATCATACCTCTGATTAGTGATAACCTATCATTGGTTTCTCTAAATCTATAAAACAAATTCTCCTCTCAAAAAATTTCCTCAAGTCTCCTCAGTAAAATAAATAGCTTAAAAAATTAGCTTTTTTCAATTTCTCAATAATATCATATACATTCTAGGGTATGTCTCCACTTTTTCTTCTATTTTTGTAATTCTCATCTTTTTCTTCTTCTTCTCGCTTTCTCTCTCAGTGATTTTGCTTACTTTTTGATAGGAGAAATGATAACAAAGCTTTAGGCAAAAACATATAAATATGCTTATGTTGTTGTTAGGTTTTTAAGCCTGATTTTTATTTTAACACTGTTAGATTTTTAAATTCGAGCCGAGTCCTATGGTTTTTAAAATATATCTATTCACAAATTGAGGCAAACGTGTCATGACTGTCTTTGTAGTCGTGACGGACATGTGTCTGGCCGTGTTCCCGACATGTCCGTGTCCAACATCATCATTGTTTGATATTCAACCGAGTGTCTGTGCTTCCTATGCAGGAATCCTTTCTGCCCTTTTGACATTTAAACAATCCTTACATATTCATCCATTATTAACACCCATACTCAACACAAACAACACAGAAATCCCCATAGCTACCTAATCATCCTAGATTGAATCACATCCAGACCCATATTCTGTCTATATAAACAAGCATAAATGTAAGTAAACGCCAGAAAACCCTAAAGTGATACCCTTTATAAAAAAACCAAATACAATAAACAATCACCAATGGGCTCTAGCCTAGATTATATAAGCTAGGGAGGTTTCTGTAACGCCCCTAAACTGATACCCTTTATAAAATAAAAAAAAAAAAAATTCGGCATTACCTCTGCTAAACAAGGGCCAACAACAACAACCTGCTTAATAAAAAATTCAATGGTCTTTCTTGGCCTTTTAAGACTTATTCAACCTGTCCCAATACACAATGCAAAATATTATATTATATTCCAGCATTTCTTTCCTCCAATCATTATGCCTTAACTTAGTTCATTCCATGGTGGTACAACTACATACCATTTCATTCAAATATCATAATTATAGTCCCAAAATACAATATTAAGATCAAATGTCCATGCTTTACAACATTCAAACAACTTATATAAAAGTTACAGCCCATAGGTATAATTATATGGGACTTAGATACAAAAATAGCAAAATGGTCTTTTAGTCCAAATTAGGCCTGTGGTGGAATGTCATCTGTCACTTTTTTCCCATTTCCTGAAAAAAAATATTAAATATAACGGGTAAGCAAAATTGCTCAGTAGGTGGTGCCTAAGACACACTTCTTGTGGGCCCGTGAATCCAAATAATGAATAGGAATAAAGGGAAAGGGATCATGCCATATAGAGGACGAGTACCATACAATTACAAGGCTCAAAACAGACAATGTCGTGCCATGTAATACAATGCCGTGCTATGTCGCTCCTCATTTTTTTTCTAAGATCACTTCCATTCACCACTTTGTAAACCGTTAACGTAATCCCCTTCGGTAACCTCTCAGCGCCGAGAGAAGGATTGGCTACTGTCCCTGACCCTTGGTACCCCTGTGACGTCATTTGGGGCTCAGATAGCTCAACCACACTAGGGCGATCTCCCTAGTTCCTTCTAGGTTACATTAACTCCACGGATCATTGGTACCTCCGCGGCGTCCGGGTTTTCATAAAAACCATTTTATCAAAATTTCTTCTCCCAAAAATCCCTTTCACTTTCATTTCGAAACATTTTTCCCTTTTTTTTTCATGCTCAATGCTATGAATGCAGCCATGTATTTTTCCAATAGTATAAAAATAAAGAAAAATTTACACTTCACAATTTAATATGCTTCTTCATAGAAATTTCTAGGAAAATAATAAACATTATGGCATGGAAATTAACATTTAGACATGCTTCTCACATAATACCATCAACACGTATAAGCCCAAACTTTTTTATTACAACAATTATATCATTTTTAAGACAAATAATTTAAATAAGGCATGCTTCACAAGAAATTTTTTAAAAAATTATACATGCTTACATACATCATTTCTAGCAATTAGTAATACAATAGACATAGGAAATCAACTCTTAAACATGTTTTTCATACACATCAATTAATAGATAAAATCAAGAACTTTATACACCACAATAAAATCATTCTAGGATTAATTAACATCAATTAAACAAGTTAGCAACAATTAACAAGAAATTGACTCACAAAGGAACAAGAAATTGGGAATTAGAAACCTCTACCTCAATCTAAGCCAAAAGCCCCAATTTTCACCTCAAACCCTAAAAATGAGTATTAATTTTCAAACTTCCTAGAGTGGCCAAAAGCTGAAATTGCTGGTATGGATTTGAAGATCTCGTTGTGGGCTTCAATTTGCTACAAACGACATTAAAAAATACTAAATATTGAAGGAGAAAACAAGATTCAAAATTTGAAGCAAAAGAAAAAAAGAAAAATGGAATCCGAGAGTGAGAGAGACCAGTGGGAGAAGAGAGAAGTTTCAGACCAAAAAAACAAATGTGGTCTCTTGACCACTTAATGTGCTAGTGGTCCCCAGCAAAAAAAAAAAAATTTCTTTTCTTTTTATTTTTTTTTTTTTTACACCACACACATACATATATGTATATACATACACTTATTAAATTACAACTATTTTAAACACATTAAATAAAATAAATATGATGTAAATGAACCTAATTAAAATTCCCTCATGCAACAATTCCAGTAACGGGTTCCACACAGGACTGTTCGGCCCAAAAAACGAAAAAATGCTAAAACGATCACCCTTGTATTTCAAAGAGTTCTGTACTCAATGAAATGCTCCAAACAACTCTCGGACATAACCGGCACACTCCGCAGTGTCCGGCACGCAAAACGGTAAAAGACGAAAATGCCCTTATAACAACAAAAATTTCAAAAAAATAGAAAATGATGAAAAATAGAAATATTATAGTTTCGAGACCAGGTGGGGACAAAATTATACAATAAGTATGTTTGCTTGAACTTTCAAAACAAAAACAAAAATCATAACAGACAATAATTCAAAGTAAAATATCAAAAATTGGCTTGAACTTTCAAAACAAAAACAAAAATCATAACAGACAATAATTCAAAGTAAAATATAAAAAATTGGAACTTTTATCGTGAATGTGTGTTTGCTTTAACTACAAAAAAAAAAAAAAAAAAAAAAAAAAATATTCATAAACCAAAAAAATTTGATGGAAAAATATAAAAAAAATCCGAACTTTTACCTGGAGTGAGACCCGACGAGGACAAAAATCTACAGTGAGCATGTTTGCTTCAACTTTCCCCTAAACAAATTTCACAACCGACAAAAATTCGAAGTAAAAATATCTCAAAATCTGAACTTTTACCGTGAATGTATGTTTGCTTCAGATTTCAAATAAAATATAAATAAATAAATAAATAAAAATCACAACCCAAAAAATATCGAAGGAAAAATATAAAAAATCGAAACTTTTACAAGCAATAATAATAATAATACAACCCAAAAAAATCGAAGGAAATATCTCAAAAATTGGAACTTTTACAAGGAAAAAAAAAAATACAACCCAAAAAAATTCAAAGGAAAGATCTCAAAAATCGGAACTTTTACCTCACAAAGTTTCAAACTCTATTCAAAAATCGGAACTTTTACCTCACAAAGTTTCAAACTCTATCCCGCAAGCAATAGAGTCTGATCACGTCGTCAAAGAAATATATTTTCGAACTACATACACACCCAATTTTAATCTCTACAAAATAATACCAGTAAATATATATATATAGATCTACATACCTTTCGCCGTGGAGAGAGATTTTTCTGATGCAGATTATTAGGATCTCCAACCATCACTGAGACGCCATCTGAGAGAGAGAGAGAGGTGTGACGAACTTGGAAGGTGAGAGGGTGTCTAGACTCCACAGGGTAATGGGCTAAATTTGACAGAATAACACTTGTATCCTACGGGAAAAAATGGTCTCCTGCTACCCTCTCAATGGAGGGTGTCCATTGCTGCCATGGCTGCTTCAGTAAATGGGTGACATGATGACACCTTTGTAAATATAGTATTTTTTTTTTTATGTATATAATATTACCTATGTATCTCTGCAAGAGTTTTATACACTTCTGTATACATACGATTTTAAATTTCTCCCCAAAATTGATTTCTTATTTCCTCCCAAATGTGAGATCTTATTTCTCTCCAAAACTAAAATATTTATCCTCAACTTTTGTATCATTATTTGTCTCTGAAATTCAGCTCTCTCTCTCTCTCTCTCTCTCTCTGAAATTGTAGTCATGAAAAATCCGGTGATTGACCAAGAATCCGGCCAAAGGCGAAGCTTCTGAAATGGTCTCTCTCTCTCTCTATCCGACGAATGACCAAGCTTCATTCAGGTGTTTCTCCCTCTGAAATTGAAGTCTCAAGAATCTAGTCAAAGACCAAGCTTCGTTCAGGTCTCTCTCCCTCTGAAATTCAAGTCTCTCTTTGCTGATGAAGAATCCGGCCAAAGACCAAGCTTCGTAAACATTGTTCGTCTTCAAAGAAGTATATATATTTATACAAGAATTTGATTTGTTTGTTTTTATGCATTTTTATATATATCATTGAAGTTAATTTTTACTTTGTTTGTTATTCTACATATGTATGTTAAATTTGCAGAATTTGTAGTTTTATTTACATGTCATTTATAGGTCTATTTTACATCTGAATATAGTCACTAAATTTTTGATATATTAATAATTTTGTTTTATATTTGGTTTATGAAATATAAAACCCCTAAATTATATACGATTCAATAAATTAAGACACAAGAAAACAGTGTGAGTGCGATAATATTTTTTCCAGTGGAGATATGTGTTTACATATAATTTATAAGTCTATTTTACATCTGATTATAGCAATTGAATTTGTGATATATTAGGGAAATTGTTTTATATTTGGTTTGTGAAATAACTTCTGAATTAATTTTGATTTAATAAATTAAGACACAAGAAAACAGTGTGAGTGCGATAATATTTTTTCCAGTGGAGATATGTGTTTACATCTAATTTATAAGTCTATTTTACATGTGATTATAGTAATTGAATTTCTGATATATTAAGCCAATTGTTTTGATACTTGGTTTGTGAAAGAACCCCTTAATTAATTTTGATTTAATAAATTAAGAGCCAACAAAACAGTGTGGAGTGATAATATTTTCCCAATGGAGATATGTGTATTGTTGCACTAAAATTAAGTTAATTGAATTTATAGTTGTACTGTTGCATTGGAATTTATTTAGTTATAGTAATATTTTGATCAGAAATTGAGAGATAATCTTAATATATTTTCTACTACAGATATCTCTATTGTTGCATTGAAATTAATTTAATTGGATTGTGTCATTGAAATTGGTTTGGAATGTCAAATTTAGTTATACTAATAAGTGGTGCCAATGTTGGAAAATGTTATGAATGTTTACATATCCATGATATTACTGAATTTATAAAAATGTGACGGTTTATTTATTGAACTATTGACAGTTTTTTGTACAATGTTATGTTGCTCAGTTGAAATATGTTAGGATTTATTTTGAATGATATGTTTATATAAGTGGTGCCACAAGTTGGAAAAATTTATAAATGTTTATATATGAATAATATTACTTTATAAGTAAAATTTGTAAGAACGTTAGTAAAAAGATGTGATGCTTTATTAATAAAGATGTTGACACTTGTTTTTGAAAAGTTATGTTTTTCATTTGAAGTATGTTTGGATATATTTTGTATGACATGTTCATATAAGTACTGCCACATGTTAAAAAACTGTATGAATGTGTGGACATGCATTATATTACTATATCTGTTAAAATCAGGTGAAGATGTTAAGTTAAAGATGTGATAGTTTATTTATTAAACTGTTGACACCTATTTGTAAAAAGTTATGTTGTCCAGTTCAAAAGTTCATTTGCTTCCCACTTTAAATTATTTTCCTTTATGAGGTTCAGTTGAAGTATGTTAGGAATAATTTTATATGACATGTTCATATAAGTTGTGCCACATGTTGGAAAAATGTATGAATGGGTAGACATGCATTATATTACTCTATCTGTTAAAATCAGCTAAAGATGTTAGGTTAAAGATGTGATGGTTTATTTATTAAATTGTTGACCCCTGTTTGTAAAAGGTTACGTTGTCCAGTTCAAAAGTTCATTTGCTTCCCACTTTAAATAATTTTCCTGTATGAGGTTCAGTTGAAGTATGTTAGGAATAATTTTATATGACATGTTCATATAAGTGGTGCCACATGTTGGAAAAGTATATGATTATGTGAATATGCGTTATATTACTCAATCTGTTAAAATCAGGTCAATATGTTAGGTAAAAGATGTGATGGTTTATTTATTACATTGTTTATGCCTATTTGTAAAAGGTTATATTGTTCAATTCAAAAGTGCATTTGCTTCCCACTTCAAATGATTTGCCTTTATGAGGTTCAGTTGAAGTATGTTAGAACTAATTGTGTATGACATGCTCATATAAGTTCTGCCACATGTTAGAAAAGTGTATGAATGTGTGGACATGCATTATATTACACTATCTGTTAAAATCAGGTGAAGATGTTAGGTTAAAGATGTGATGGTGTATTTATTAAACTGTTGACACCTGTTTGTAAAAGTTTATGTTGTCTAGTTCAAAAGTTCTTTTGGTTCTCACTTTAAATGATTTTCATTTATGAGGTTGGTTGAAGTATGTTAGGAATAATTTTGTATGACATGTTCATATAAGTGATGCCACATGTTGGAAAAGTGTATGAATAGATGTTAAGTAAAAGATGTATGGTTTATTCAGTAAACTGTTGACACCTGTTTGTAAAATGTTATGTTATTCAGTTCAAAAGTTCATTTGTTTCCCACTTTAAATGATTTGCCTTTATGAGGTTCACTTGAAATATGTAAGGATATATTTTGTATGACATAGTCATATAAGTGGTGACACATGTTGGAAAACTGTATGAATGTGTGGACATGCATTATATTACTCTATGACTTAAATTCATGTCAAGATGTTAGGTAAATGATTTGATATTTTATTTATTATACTGTTGACACCTATTTGTAAAACGTTATGTTGTTCAGTTCAAAAATTCATTTGCTTCCCATTTTAAATGTCTTTATGAGGTTCGCTTGAAGTATGTTAGGATATATTTTGTATGACATGTTCATATAAGTGGTGTCATATGTTGTAAAAGTGTATGAAAGTGTGGATATGCATTATATTACTGTATCTTAAATTCATGTCAAGATGTTAGTTAAAAGTTGTGATGATTATTTATTAAAGTGTTAATATGTGTTTGTAAAAGATTATGTTGTTTAGTTCAAAAGTTCATTTGATTCCCACTTTAAATGATTTGCCTTTATGAGGTTCTTTTGAAGTATGTTAGGTTTTTTTTGTATGATATGTTCATATAAGTATTGCCAAATGTTGGAAAAGTGTATGCATATGTGGATATGCATTATATTATTCTATCAGTTTCATGTGAAGATGTTAGGTAAAATATTTGATGGTATATTTATTAAACTGTTGATACATGTTAGTGAAATGTGGTGTTAGTTGAACTATGTTAATATTTACGTCTTATGCTTACTTTTGTAATTTTTGTATTTGTAGGTTTTATATTTAAATTATGGCCATGGAAGATGGAACTATTAATATTAAAGAAATAGATAGCGAATTAGACGGCGAGGTACATGAAGTATAATGGAAACCATGTATTGAAATGGAGTTTGATTCTGAAGATGCGGCGTATGATTTTTATAACAATTATGGTGGCAGAGTCGGTTTTAGTATTCAAAAGGAGTACGGAAATAAAAGTCGGAAGGATAGAAAAATAACATCTAGGTTGTTTGTATATAGCATGGAGGGTTAAGAGGTAAGGACAAGAGAGACAGAAAAACAAAGAAACTAAGGGCTGAAACACGCACAAACTGTGGTGCACGCATGTTAGTAAGGTATGATATGGGTTTACAAAAGTTCGTTGTAAGATAGTTTGAAGAAAGTCACAACCATCCCCTCAACATGCAGCAATGCACCCACATGATGCCATTGTAACGAAAAATCAGCTCAGTATAAGGTATTGATGTGGAGTTGGCTTGCGATTCTGGAATAGCAGTTCATAAAACTTTCAAATTAAGCTCCAAGTAAGTTAGAGGTAGAGAAGCAATTGGCTACACCAAGGTTGATGTACAAAATTATATTAGGACAAGAAGATAGAATAAGTTAGAATGTGGAGCGGTGGGTTGGGTCATGAATTATTTCCAAATTCAGTCATGGGAAGATCCATCATTTTTTTTTATACTGTCCAACTGGACATAGATGCAATGATAACTAATATATTTTGGGTCGATTCAAAAATAATATTAGATTATGTCCATTTTTGAGATGTGGTTACGTTTGATACAACGTACAAACTTGTCCAAGGTAATAGGCCTTTGGCTATTTTTCACGGTTTGAACCATCATCGGCAGACAGTTGTGTTTGGTGCCGCTTTCATGTATAATGAGATAGCGGATTCGTTTGCTTGGTTGTTTAATACATTCTTGAACACAATGTCCTGTAAATTGCCAAGGACAATATTGACTGACCAAGACGCAGCAATGGCAAAGGCACTAGTACAGGTAATGCCTTACACAAGTCACCATCTGTGTACATGGCACCTTATGCTTAATGCACAAAAGCATATCGGCAACTT